GTGCTTGTTAGGATTCAACAAATCTACTGAAAAGCCTGACATTTTCATTTTTTTCTTTTCCCTATTGCCCCCGTTTTCCATTTTATTTTGTGGCCATGGGTCATTGGGCCCGGTTTCCATCAGCCCCCTGCTTCCAACCACAGGCTATTGGCTCAAAAGGTTGCAGAGCGCTCACATTTGAGGATATCATCCATCAAGTGTACATGCAGATGACTTCTGCAGAGAGAGACTTGGACTAACTGATTTTAGTAATGTTCAGGTTTTGAGCCAATATAGAACTCTCTAAAAGGTTTTTAATTATACGATTTTCTTCATATTTTATTTGTTTAATTCGCTCCACAGCAACGATTTGCCATTATTTGTGTTTGGGCTTTTACCACAACTGATCACAAAACAGTTTGGACATTAACTTTTTATGTCTCTGTTTGGTTTTCTTTACAGTGGCCATGAAAATAATTAATGAATAAATTAAATCTCTGTTTGCGTTGTAAAAAAGTTTGCAGACAGAGAGGGGTCGCAGCAGCCGGACTCTGCCCTCCGTTAACCATCCACCGACCTGATACATGTGCAACTCATTCTCATAAACTAATAGTGGTGATTACAAACAAGTGGCACTCAGACTCTGCTGTCACATGTGCTTTTGAGCCGCTGCAGTTTGTCCCTCAAAATCTATTAACTTCTGTAACAAATCACTTGCCTCATTCTGTACATGGGTCATGCTTGTTGTTGTTGGTTCCAACGCTCATCTGCCGACTCGAACGCGATGTCTCCCCTCGCCCTGGCCTCCCTTAACTTCGGCATCAACTCCCTTCTTCTCTTCCTCACAGACTCGGTGTAATCTTCATTTATATAAATATTAGGTCCTTTAAGCTTCTTTGCTTGTTGCAGTATGTGTGCCTTATCTTTCTCTTTCATCAACTTTACCATCACCGCCCTCGGTCCCCGATCAGAAGGTTTCCCGACTCTGTGAGCCCGCTCCATCTCAATTTCTTGATGAATTTGCAGTTTATTATTTAGAATCTCCTTCACTTTACATTCCGCTTCCGTCCAGCTTTCTCCAGCTGACTCCTTGATTCCCTCAAAGATCAGGTTTTTTCGCTTGGACTACTTCCAAATACTCCATTTTATCCGTTATAGCTATTAAACTCTCACAAGTTTTGTAGATGTCATCCCTTGTCTCCTTGGTTTGTGTTTTCTGTTCACCCATGGCAGCTTTAATCACATCCACCTCTCGCTGGGGAAACTGCAAACTCGTTTTTATCTCCTGTATTTCTCTGGTCATGACGTTGAATCAATCTCCTGTATTTCTCTGGTCATGACGTCGAATCACTTGTTTGTTTCCATAATTAGTTGCACGAAGCCTTTGAAGCTTTCCTGCTGTTGGTTCATCAGCGCGATGTACATCTGTTTCTGATGATCCACGATGTCCATTACTTGTGCCGCTCTGTGATACATTTCTTCTGCCTCTATATCCTCAGTCACTTCTGATTTATTAGCTCTTTTCCCTCTTTGAGGCATTTTAGTAGTTGTAAAGTATGTTCAAAGACTTGAATATTGTAATGTACCTTCACATTCTCTATATGAATGTTTAACAACTAAAAATGTTGTTTGTGTTTAATTTCTCTTTAAAAGTGTCTGCATATCTTGCAGACATGGACTTCTAGACCCTCAAATATGACAACATAGCTGTTAAACAATTTTTTGAGTTTATCTAACAACATTACTCATTGACCATATGTGCAGACAGATTTGCCATTTGCCAATGACCAATCATGTCAACATTCAATGGACAGTGAGTATTATATTAAGATGGACTCCAAACCTGATAATGTGTATATACATCAGTGTCATCAAGCTGTTTCTTCTCCCTTCAGGGTGTCTCATCCCTCGCAGGTGGTGCTGCCATTCCCACACTGGGAGCCCAAAGAAAAGCCTGTCAAAGAGGATGACGTGGGACCTCAAGTAACACATATCTATGAGGTAAATGCACACCTTTACATCAAAACACAGTCAGGCAGTTGAATCTTGTATGAAGAGCAAGGTAGAGTAAGTGTGTACTCAGAGATGATGAGATGAAGGAGGCTGACTGGTTTTGTTTTGTTGTCATTGGTCAGAAGGGATGTCTCTGCACAGACTGCTAAGATGAAAAGAAAATAGATGTGGAAAGTTGTAAGGGGGGGGGGCTTTGTAAGGTGCAATAACCAGCAACACACGTACAGTCAGATCAGCAGCTCTATAAAGTAGTGGGCTCAGGCTGATCAAAGGACTACAGCTGAGGAGTAATTACTGTTGTGAAGGTGGGAAAGAGAGTGAAGAAGGGAATGCTAGCAAAACAAGCAGAGAGGAAGGAACAGATAGTTGTTGTGTACAGTAATGAGTGCAGTAATAATCACTGAAAGGACAAACAAGGTCAAACAGAGGTACAGACAAATAGATAGAAGGAGAGCGGATGGCAGACAGACTGGCGAAACATTACAATGTGTGTGTGCGTGTGTGTGTGTGTGTGTGTGTGTGTGTGTGTGTGCGCTATACGTGCGATTTGTTTTTGTTTTAAAGGCTGCTCCGGAGTGCAGCAGTGTCTGACCAGTCCTGCAGCTGATAATGATTTTCATTTGTGGTATTTTTCGCAGTTGGCAGCTGCTTCTAATTAGAGAGGACAAGTTGGTTTTTTTTTTTTTTTGCTCTTCCCTGTAGCACCAGGATCGTGTCTTGTTTGGTTGACTTGCTTTAGGGTTAATGACCATGTGTGTGTGTGTGTGTGTGTGTGTGTGTGTGTGTGTGTATGAGAGGTATGTGAGAAAAAGAGACAGAGAAAATGCACGTCAGGTTAAAAGTTGAGGATTTGTTGAATTGATGGTTCATTTAGGATCATAATGAATTAACCCTAATTTTGATGAGGAATGATGAGACTGCAGGTTTTACTTGTCTTGTTAGTATTATCCTTGCTAACACAGCTGGCCTGAATCATCATCCCACAGTTATGATAGCCTCATCATAGCCTCAACCACTTGAGACCTACTAAGACAGAAAAGAGTAAAACCTGGCAACCTTTTTTTCCTGCTCCCTCTCTCTTCATCTCCAGCTGCATAACTCTGGTCCCAGCAGTATTCAGGAGGCTGAGCTCCAGGTCGGCTGGCCTTACCGTTTCCATGACGAGAACCTGCTGTACGCCATGGAGATTAAAACCGACGGTCCAATTAGCTGCCGGACAAACACCAGCCTCAACCCACTTGGCCTTCAGGTAACAGTCTGAAAATATATGACTATGTACATGCTTATGCATAAAGACAATTTTGTATTGCTTGTAGTGGGAATGAATGTTAACCATTAATTTACCTTTCATGCTCAATACCTTGCATAGTATCAAACCACCAGAGCCAGTGCAGTTTCAGACTTTTATTTATTACACTGCTTGCAGCATATTCATCTTTCTACTGCTCCATCATTTATATCCGCTTATTTAAAGTATAAGTGTACCCATTGTTCTGGCTGCTCCCTGTGTTCTTTTGCTAGGAGGGTGGACTATTATGCTAATTTGAAATTAATGCTGCAGTAGTTTCCAATATTTACAATATGATCTGTAGAATAATTTGAAAATAAAAATGCAGTTATTTCAAAAAGTGCACAGTTATAATCATCTACGAAATAATGAGTGATCACCGCTCAGCATTTCCCTCCTGGTTTGGTGATTGCCAATATAACTATCTGGTTGGACAAAATAAGCAAAGAGCCCATGTGCAGTTCCACCAATAAGCTATCATTACTATGAACTGTCTCTCCTTGTCTGTGTCAGATCTCCACTCTCCAGGACACACCTGAATTATTAGGTTTCCTGAGGAACACCAGTGCTCCTCACCGCCACAGACGAGCTGTGACCACTGCTCAGAGTTCTAGTGGTAAAACCTTGGTGAGCCACACAGTACATTCTTTCAAGAAAACAAACTAAACCAAATGTTTGTTAGTAATTCAAAGGTCTGTTTCCACTCCTCACACCCTGTTTCTCTGCAGAACTGCACTAATATCTCCTGTCTGAGGATCATGTGTGTAGTTGGACGGCTGGATCATGGGCAGAGCGCAGTGGTCAAAATTCGATCGAGGCTCTGGGTTCATACTTTCCTCCCGGTCAGTGTCTTAATTCATCGTGATGTTTTTTGAGGTTTATGTGTTTGTTGCTTTAAGGTTAAGGTTTGCCAAGTTTTATCACTATGCAACTAAACCATCTCAGTTTTAAGGTCCATTCTTGACCTTTGAAACAGCAGTTGTGACAACAGTTTCACAATAAGGTCTATTTAGTACCAGTTCTGCCAGTCCACGGGCACTCCAGTTATCGGGGTATCGCACTAATCAGCCTCCCTGGGAAAGCTGGAAAGGAGGCTCTGAACCTCAGATTCAGGAGGACCAATTCAGGTTGTGGATGGCTGGACCAGCTCTTTACTCTGACAAGGTTACTGGACGGATCCTGGGAGTTTGCTCACCCAGTCTACATGTGTTTTATGGACTTGGAGAAGGCTTACGACCAGGTCCCCCCATAGGATCTTGTCGGGGTTTGGGGAGTAGGGGCTGCGGAGGGCGTGGTTAGGAGCCACTTGGTCCTTGTATAACCGGAGTGAGAGTTGTGTCTTGGCAAGAAGTCAAACATGTTCCTAGTTGGTGTTGGCCTTTGCCAGGGCTGTCCCTTGTCACCGAACCTGTTTGTGATTTTCATGAACAGGATCTCAAGATGCATCTGGGAGGAGGAACGTTTCCAGTTTGGGGACCTCAGAATTGCATCTCTGCTGTTTGCTGATGATGTGGTTTTGTTGGCTTCATCAGACTATGACCTCCAGGATGCACTGGGGTGGTTTGCATCCAAATATGAAGCAGCAGGGATGAGAGTTAGCACCTCTAAGTCTGAGGCCATGGTGCTCTTTTCCCTGGACTTTTCCCTCCGGGTTGGCAGTGAGTTGCTACCCCAAGTGAAGGAGTTTAAGTATCTTGGGGTCTTGTTCACCAGTGGGTAAAATCAAGCATGAGCTTGACAGGTGGACAGGGGGCCATCAGCAGTAATGCAGACGTTGTACCAGACCATCATGGTGAAAAAGGAGCTGAGCCAAAAGGCAAAGCTCTCGATTTACTAGTCAGTCTACGCTCCAACCGTCATCTACGGTCATGAGCTGTGGGTAGTGACTGAAAGAATAAGATCATGAATACCAGTGGCTGAAATGAGTTTCCTTCATAGGGTGGCTGCACTTACCCTTAGAGATAGTGTGTGGAGCCCGGACATCCGGAATAGGCTTGGAGTAGAACCACTGCTCCTTCACATCGAAAGGAGCCAGTTGAGGTGGTTCAGGCAGTTTATCAGGATGCTTTTGAGACGCCTCCCTTTGGAGGTCTTCTGAGCATGTCCATCTGGTAGGAGACTCCAGGACAGACCCAGAACAGAGATTATATATCTCATCTGGCCTGGGAATGCCTCGGAGGACTGCCAGAGGAGCTGGAACACATCACCGGGGAGAGGGACGTCTGGACAACCTTACTGAGCCTGCTGCCTCCACAACCCGACCCCAGATAAACGGTAGAAAATGGATGGATAGTACCAGGTCTGGGTTTTCCATTTATGTTAGGGTCAAGGTTTAAACTCAACTACTCTAAATGTGTTATTAAGAAACCAACATATGTGATTGGTCAAATAGCAATTTTTAAATAACAAAGTTATATTTGTCTTACAGCGGCGTAATTACCCCTACATTCTCAACTCCACGGTGTCTTTCATGGTCACAGCCATGCCTTACCGAATCCAACCCCCCACCCTGCCTCAACACAGCACCTCGGTAAGATGAAGGAAGTAATAAAATCTGTCTTTGTGTCTGACTGCAAGAAAGAAACAGAAATGTATTGACACCTAAGCTCCTATACCTGTCTGGTCTCTGTAGATGGGGACCCTGGTGTTATGGGGGACTCCAGACGTGTCATTTGCTGTTCCACTCTGGGTCATCATCTTGGCCATCCTGCTGGGGCTGCTGGTGCTGGCCATGCTAACACTGGCCATGTGGAAGGTACACACACATCCAACCATTATGCAACATCCTCAGCTTGTCTTGTGGTAGCTTAATGACTATACTAATCGATTAATTTGATTCCCTCAGTGTGGTTTCTTTGACCGGGCACAGCCACCAGCTAAAGATGACGTCTCTGACCAAGAGCAGCTGACTTCGGATCAAACAGGGGATGCCTAAGATGATGTGCGACAGCTCCTGGAGGACTGTTGTTTAGGGAGGGATGTGCACCTTCTGATGAATCAGATCTGAGATCTGTAGTTGCTGGGGGTCTTCTGCCTCTTTGTTGATGACACTAACTGAAAGGACAAACTGAAGGCTGCAGTGCCACACAGACTGGGACCCGAAGAACAAGATTCAAACGAGACAGACTGGGACCAAAACACAGTCAAGGTGCAAACATGTCCATTGTTTATCCATTGTGATAAGGAACCAGAACTGAAGACAGAATGGACTCTGTTGTGAAGACATTTTTATAACTGAACGTTTTTGTGTGTCTGTGTAAATGAGGCACAAAGAGACTTGAGATCTATGCACAAGTGCTTTTGTGAGTATCAGAGTATGTGTTTTTGAGTTTGTGTGTGTATGTATGTGTATGTGTGCAGGTACTGTACATGTGTGTGTGTTTATTAGGTGCCTCTTGTGTCATCCTTTCTTTCAGTTACTGAATTATTTCACCACCTGATTTAATTTATCCCAGTTCTCTTCAAACTGGGCTGTACACAGATTTATTACACACACACATAAAATGCAGCCAAATGCCTATACACAAAGGCACAATGTTAAGGTGTATATTTATGAATGTATGTGCAATATTTGGGCGTTGTGTGATAGTGAAGCTTGTTTACACTGGCATTATTTTATTAGAGCTTAATGTTTCGGTTGTTTATGTATATAAGTGATTAATTGATTTATTAGCTATTAGTATTACTGAACAACAAAAGCAATTGTTTATACTGATTTAAACCACCACATAACATTTAAAAAACAGTGAGGAGACATATGACAAATAAGTTATTAGTGTCTTGATAGAATGACTATAGAATATTTCTTTTGAGGAAACAGATGACATCTCCACAGCTGCAGTCCTCCTCTGCTAGTTCTACTATAGCAAAACACATTGAAGACAGACTGAGACTGTGTACATTACTGCACAGAAGAGTTTTGTTAATGTTGTCATTTTTTAAATCTTGTGATAATGTGCAATGCACAGGGAGGCAGAGCAGTAATCAGGATATCAGCAGCACCCTACATTTCATATGCCATGTTTTGGCAGTGGTGTTTGATTATTCATTGTCGTAGTTTTTGGTATATTAGGTAATTGATGATGAAGTTAGAGTGAACTCTAAGATTTTTTGCAAAAAGAGCACAAAAAAGATAAATAGGAAATGAAAAACATTAAACTCTCAGTGATAACATTGTCATCTTGTGGTACAGTTTCTTACTTACAGTGCAATACAATGTCCAGTGCAAGCAAATTGTCCCCTTCCCATGTTTCCTTAATAGTAATAGTGCATGGATGGCGTGTCAGTATTGTGCAGGTTACAATGAAATTTTAAAACACTTGAGGAGTTCACATACAAGTGTTTAGGTTAAATTGCTTAAATTTGGATATATTAGTCACAGTACTTATACTTTATTAGTTATATACAGGTATATAAATAAAATTATCCGATGTCTCCACCTCAGAGGAAAGACTGCTGCTCCCCCAGGTGGTGCAGTGTAGAAATCAATCTAAATATCTGTAGAAGCAACACAGTAGAGCCTGATGGCGGGACAGGGACCTCTTGTGGCCATGACGTGAACAAAACTCTGGTGATACATGTCATTTCAACATACAGTATATTAATGACAAGCTAAAGCATACATTTTTGAATGTTTCTTAGTGGCAAGCTAGCGGTTTGTTTTTCTTTTTTAGCTTAAACCTGATAAACTACTGAATGCAATTTCAAGGCAAACTGAACTTTTAATGTTACAGTAAGTTTTCCTTTGGCACCAATGTGTTTAGTTTCTTAAGATATATTTTGTTTACTGGCCTTTACAACATGACAAAGGGATGTACAGTTGGAAGTTAGCAGCAATATAAGTCAGTTAGGTGTCTGCATGTATGGAGACTGATTCTGTTGAGCCATAACACGATAAGTATAAAATTTCATAAGGTTTGTTTTTCTAGTTGCATTTTCTGTTCTGAGACAGACTTTCATTGAAAAAGTTCATTCATCACTCCAATGATATTCTGTTTGTAGTAGCCTCAAACTTTACACCACAGATTTTACAGTAGATGTAGATGCAAAAGAAAAAAGAATGATGCCAGGTGAAATGAGAGCAAATAAAAAAATGTCAGATTCACACTCATACAGCCAGTGATATACAATGCAAGAATGTAAAATGTTAAGAGTAATTACTGGAGGAAGCTTAAATTTATAGCTTGTACAATGATATTTTGCTCACAAAGCGCCAACAGACGCCAAAATGGTGCAGCACACATCGAGCTCCCTGTTAACATAAACAAAGGATGAAACCATACACGTGACAACAGTCGGACTGTTGCAGATATTAGCCCTTGATATTTCCATAATTGCATGAATCCAAATGCCATTTGCCTTCTGTGAGTTATTGTTGTTCATTAGCAGCACAGCTAAAACTAGATCATTTTGAAATGCAAAGCAAGTGATTTGCTGGTAATGTATTATTTCCTTCAGTTGAAAGGTGAGTGTCCTCAACTCAATCTGAAGCAACCACACTAAACACACTGAGACCAAAAGCTTGTTGGGGGTCAAAAAAATCTTCAACAAAATGTAAAAATGGTGCTTAAACAACAGGGCCAGACTCAGCACTAAGGTATCATTAACAACAATAAAAAAAAATTCTTTTAAAGCACAAATTTCTATTTTATTCATGTTTTTTATGTTCATCCTAAATTTTGATTGATGTAGATCATTGTATTGTATTCTTTTATTTACAGCTTTATTTTTCCAAAGAAAATAACTGCAGAAAACCTGTACTATATTGTACAAATAAGCAGAAACTACTTGATATCCATCAATTCATTTTCTTCCACTTATCCGGGACCGGGTCGCGGGGGCAGCAGTCTAAGCAGAGATGCCCAGACTTCCCTCTCTCCAGACACTTCCTCCAGCTCCTC